CCGCTAATGCTTCCTGCTGACTCATGTGCCCCATGCAGATTGCTGGAATCCTGACCCTCATTCACGACCATCTTTCACGAATATCCTGGACCAGCTAACTACCATAGAGGAGTCTGGTTTCTTTGAAATGCCCAAGGACTCTTTCCACTGCCTGCAGGATGACTGGAAACATGAGATTCAGGAGATGTTTGACCAACTCAGGGCCAAAGAAAAGGTAAGAAAGGGAAGCAAAAGGCATGCATTGAATTAGTGGATATTCTCCACTGGGGCCTCTGGACCGATTCTGACACGACCACGTTCCTGCTTGGTTTGTGGCAACAGAGCAGCTTTTTCCTTCCTGGCTTTACATGGAGAGTTCTCCAGGCCTCAGGTGTGACCTGAGACGATCGAGAATTTTTGTTTCTTTTTGGGATGTGGCAGGAATAAGTGGGGGGGGAGTCATGAGTCCAAAGCTGTCCTTGCAGAGTATCTACTGCATTGTCCAAACTGGAGGAGGAGCCCGGCTGGGCAAGTACCAGCAGGGTGTCTCGCCCCGCCGGCTGGAAATACGAGAGCGTTCTAGAAAGCTCTCTTTGTTCTACAGTGGACTTGTAGAAGGGGTTTAACTGGATGTAGGGATACTTCCATACTGAGAGCAATTATCAGAGCATCCTGCCAGTGTCTTTGGGGATCAGAATCAGAAACAGCATATGGGCTAAAAGTACCATGAGTCTGAAGTTGTTTGGCATTTTTCATGTTTTTATGAAAAGGGCTCAAAGGCTGAACCAACTGAGGTGTTCAGAGACTCATAGCCCATTAGAGATCTGCCTTTTTGTTTTGGAGACCATTCCTTAAATGGCCCCTCTCTATGCCCGTAGTGTCTGGCTAGCAGTCAGCATCACACAGAGGGAAGCTAATCAAAGTAGTTATGTTGTTTATCCTGCGGGGCCAGTGGCTAGGGGCACGAGGGATGTCCATGGATAGACTTGGTTAATTTCTTCTTTCCCTTCTCGTTCCCCTCTGTGGAAATTTGGGAAGCAGTATAATAATAGTAGAATCTAAAATTATCTTTATGGCTTCCCAGTTCTTTCACCTGAAAGGTCTGATGAGACCTCTTCACCCATTTCATCCAGGAGTCTTATGGCCCCTGCTGCCAGCATGTAGGGCAGGTGTTATTAACTTTTTCATCTCAGAGCTGAGGGTCAGTGTCCGTCTAAAGTCACACAGCTAGTAAGTGAGGAGGCAGAATCTTGAACTGGGGTCTTCTGATTCCAAAACCATTTTCTTTCCAATATCATCGTTTCCCTGTTAAACAAAGGACTTAAAATTCATTTCTGGAGCTGATTTGAAGACATAACTCTTTTGATGCAACATAGCACTGCTTGTGCTGTTTGGCAAGTCAAGGAGCATTCTGCAGGGGGATGCAGTGAGCTTATGACAATTCTTTAGGGACCCAGGGGGAGAGAGGGGTGGATCTGTACTGACCATTGAGCAGAATGATTAAAAGAGACTGTCCCAATTACTAGTTCTGTTCCAACTAGAAGAACCCCAGAGTTCCTGGCCTTTTTTGAGACTGCTGAATCACTGACTCCTGGTTATTTCTTTTTCGTTTTTTAAATTTATTTTTTATTGAAGTATAGTTGAATTACAATGTTGTGTTAATTGACTGCTATACAGCAAAGTGACTCAGTTATTTATTATATATATATATATATATATATATATATATATGCATTCTTTTTCATATTCTTTTCCATTATGTTTATCACAGGATATTGAATATAGTTCCGTGGTTATTTCTTTTGATTGATGAAATTATAAGGGTACCAGCCAATAAGAAAAATGAAAGTTGGATTTTGTCAGGAGGTAGTTACTAGAAAAAGTCAAACCAATTCTCGTCATAGCTAACATTTGTAGAGCATGTGCTATTTGCCATGCTCTGTTATGAGTAATTTATATGAATTCTTACGTAATCTTGCATAATAAGGTAATAATTGCCTATGTGTTACAGTCCTGTGATATTGGTGCTATTAACTCCACATAACATGTGATGCCCATTGTAACTTGCTCAAGGCCACACATCAGCTACTTTGTTCCAGAGTCCTTGCTTTTAACACCCATGCTGTGATACCTCTCCATTATGAGGCTTGGAGTTGGGCAAGAAAGCTCATTAGCTTTCTCTCTGGAGAGATTCCTCTTAAATCATTGTATGTGGAAGATGTGATTTGCATACTATGGAGTTGATACCCAAATAGGTGTTTCGCAAGAAGGGGATTTACCACGCTGGAGGGTTCCCAGGTATATGGTGCCATAGTTGAGAACTCCATAAATGTCCTGTTTTCCCATGTGATTCATTCTTCAGGTTCTCTCAACCTACTACTGCTTCTGTGTATGTGAGGATGGGTTGGTCTCTGGGCTGGGGTTCAAGTTCCCTTAAAGGAAGGAGCTTAAACGCAAGTCATCCCTTAGACAAGAGCATGCAAGAGAGAGGACTTAGGAAGGCTGAGATTAGCTCGAACTAATTTTCAGCTTTCCCATTTAGCAGCAAAATAACCAACCAGGAATAATCTTTCTGAATCTTCTATGTGTTTTTGTTCTGATGGTGAAAACAAAGCGGTGGGACTGGGAAGCCAAAAATGTGGAGGGCGCACAACAATTAATCTTTGGGGCTTATTTGGGGCTTATTTCATCAGAGAAGGAGAAGTTCAAAAGTTCAAGCTCATTTCTCAGGCACTGTGATGAATCCATGTTCCCATAAAGAAGGACCTGCATTTATAAAATTGTCTTCTGTCTCCTCCTCCTTCTTTCTCTCATTCATTCATCGACTCAGCAGTTAATCAGCAACTACTGAGGACCTACCACGTACCAGACAACCTTCAAGGTGCTCGTCCTCTTCTCATTTTTCTCCTTTCTATCATTTTTATGGTCATTTTCATATACTCTTGAGAATAGAAGGCAAGTTGAGTGGAAAACTCCTTTCATCAGAATACTTTATTCCCATTTTGTTTGTTTTCTCTTCTGCTCTCTGCCTGCTGCTCTGCTTCCCCCGATATGTGTTCACATACTTTTTTCTAGCCCTGGGTTCCATTTCTATATTTTGTTCTAGTCCGGAATGACTTCTTATAGGGGAGCATTTCATTGAGAATTTTGAATTTCAACCACAGAAGTGTTGCTCTGGCTACTTTATTGAAGAAAACTTCTCCCTTTTTAGACATGGTTCTCTCAGGTTGTTGACATGAAAGCTTCTTAAGTTTTAGTCCTCTGCCTCCACCCAACTTCAATCCTAGGCCTGCTAGGCCTGCGGTAACCAGTGTTAACAGTTTAGAGTCCACATGTTTAAATTTTATATGCATGCTTTGTTCTCTTTCCTGGGCTCTCCCCTGTTTCCTGATACCATAAGCCCCCACCTCTTTCCAGGAATTCCATGGTGAGTTCCTTTGTAAATTCATGCAGGAGGAAAAAGGGGAGGGAGGGAAGAGGTTCTGCCCACCTTCTAGAGAAAGTGCCTGGCAGAGACTTCAGGAAATGTTCCCTCTTCTCTTTGCTGTGCTGTCCCCAGCCTTCCAGAGCAAATGGTTGTCCTTTAAGTTAAGGTGCAAGTTTAAACCACACGCTCAGTGGATTCACTCACCAGGTGAACAAAGATGTAGATGACACGCCTCACGAACCTTTTGAACAGCCACCCTGGAAATATATTTATTTTCATTTGAATGTTAGGCGATGCCTGGAGGGTGATTCATTTACAGCACGCACATTTTAAGCTAGATCACATTAAGTTGGCTCTGGTTTTAAAAAACTTTCCTTTATGTAACAGAAAGAAAAAATCAAAATAGAACCAAATCTGTAAAATTTGAGTATACGATTATATTTTCTACCCAAACGCCATCGTTTTTCCTGGTCACAGGTAATTTTAATCAGTCAATCAAGGGGCACAGGGAACTGTCAGCCCCCGTCTCCAGGGCTTGGCCTGTGGCTCCTCTAGCTGTATCCTCGGGATGGCTCTTCGGAGCCTGCCTGGCCTCCATTTGCGGTGGTCAGGTGTTCATCTTCCAGCCAGCTATTGAGCCCCCACCTCCGCCAGGGACTGAAGCGTGGGGCGTCAGAGGAGAGCTGTCCAGGCTGCTGTGAGCACTGGTCCCCCCAGGGGTGAGCCCCCTCTGCACGGACCACTGGCCACACACACCCCCACCCCCACCCCCCCGCCATGGTTCTACCTGCCTGGCAGGAGCTGCACACCTGGGAGGAGGAGCTGACGCGGGCCGCACTCCAGCAGAAAAACCAGGAGGAGCTGCTGCGGCGCCGGGAGCGGGAGCTGGCCGAGCGGGAGATCGACATCCTGCAGCGGGAGCTCCACATCATCATCCACCAGCTGTGCCAGGAGAAGCCCCGGGTCAAGAAACGCAAGGGCAAGTTCAGGAAGAACCGACTGAAGCTCAAGGATGGAAACCGCATCAGCCTCCCTTCCGGTTGGTGGCCGGGGACGTGGGGGAAGTGGGAATGGACCGAGGGGGTGGTGTGGCAGGGGTTCTATGGGAGCCAGGGACTGAGCTCGGAAACGTGAGACCCCAGGGCTCATCACGGAGCCGGTTTAGGAAGGTCCATTCTATTCCGTGGAAAGCCTGGCCTGCTGGAAAGCTTCCGCCTTCCAGGGGGATTTTGTAGTGTGACTACACACAGAATATGAGGGGAAGGCCGTGAGTGTGACAGGCCTGGCAGCAGGCTGCTAGAAGCACGGCCGTGCACACAGGCACATCTCACTATAGGCAAACCTGGAGAAGGAATATGTCACTGGGGGAAAAAAATCCCAGGGTATGTGTGTATGTGCGTGTGAGTCTGCAAAATAACTCATCTCAGGGTTTCTGTAAATAATTAGCTCTCTGTGTGCAGTTGAGATTAGGATGAACGTTTAAGAATTTGATTTACACATAACCTTTCAGAAACACATTAGCTGAACAAAGGTACATTTGCAGTAGGTACAGCCCTGAGAAAATGCAGAGAAATATGAAACTATGAATTAGAATCTCTGCGGGGCATAATGTACCCACGAGGGAGGTAAGTACTCAAGCGTGTGTTATGTAAATAAAGTTCATTGTATCCTGAGTCTGTAAGGCCCCAGGAAGCAAGCTTATTAGAAGGATAAGGAACCAAGGGGAAATGGCATAATAGGAGTAGTAGTGGATGATTTTAAGCACTGGGATGGTGGCTTAGGTACAGACAAGAGAATCCATCTAGTGAAATTCAGTGAATGTGTCGTTGCACATTTCTTTCTTTTCAGGCAACACAGAGTCTTTAAGCACCTCTGGAGCATCTGGCACGTGCCAGCATCTTGCTGTGTGCTAAGGAAGCAGATAGAAAAGCCATGGAGCTCACCTACAGGGAGATCACAGTCTAGAGGGGAGACCTAGGTGCAAACACGCAGATCTTTTTTATAGCCTTTTGATAGATGGGGAGAATGAAGCTCAGAAACTGAGAGAATGTACATTTTACATTCCTCATGTACGCTGTAAATGCCTTTGGAATACATCAGAATTTGGACCATTAACCGCATCTCCCTCACTTCCCCAGGTTCTGTGGGTTAGTCCTGTTACCCCGCACTTATCGAGGAGCATCAGTCTCCCTGCTTTGGTCCCTGAGAAAAGGAGGCGTGTACGGATAGACTGTATGAGATGGAGAATTTTAAGTTAGATTTCCTAGAATGATCGACAAGGTCTCATGATATTTTTAAAAACTATTCTAAGCACGTACTTGCTACACCTATATACATTATGTAGACATATGTACATTATATAGACGGCTTTATGAAAACCGTATAACGAAGTTCACTTGGGTAATGAAGTTTCCTTCTCTTCATACGTCCATCTTGCCATGTCCCTATGGGAAAAAGAAATGATTCTGAAAGAGAACATTTCCCAGGTGAAAAGGAGCTTCTCAGGAAATAGGACCTGTCCCTCAAGTCTGCCAGGAAGTGTCAGTTCTCTCATAGGAATTTTTTTTTTAACTGAGATATAGTTGATGTACAATATTACACAAGTTTCAGGTGTACAACATAGTGACTCGCAATTTTTAAAGGTTATACTCCATTTATAGTTATTATAAAATATTGGCTGTATTCCCTGTGTTGCAGTATATATCCTTGTAGCTCATAGGAATTTGAGAATGGGAAAATTCTAATGTACACGCATCTGTTTGTCTTTCCCCAAGCAGATTTCCAGCACAAGTTCACGGTACAGGCCTCGCCCACCATGGATAAAAGGAAGAGTCTCATCAACAGCCGCTCTAGTCCTCCTGCAAGCCCCACCATCATTCCTCGCCTGCGAGCCATCCAGTGTGAGGCTGTTTCCTAAATTAGTCGGGGCCATAACACACCAGGGGCACCTGTCCCCTGCTCTGTCCAGCCACCAACTGGTCCAGGCTGTCTCCGTCCATAACTCTGCCACCTCTCCTCCACAATATGTATATACATGCACATGTGTACGCAGACCCTTACCCCCCACCTCGTCTCTCCATGACCTTGACCCTTTCACTCTTAGTGAGATACCAGCACAGGGGTTTGTGGGTATCAGCGGGCTCTTTAGTGAATTACAAAGCAATCTGAGATGCGATGAGGGTGCCCTGGCCTGGGGACCTTGTGCACTCGCTGCCATGTTTGGGGCATCGTGGTTTTTCTTTTCCATACTTCCCAGGAAAGGGCTTTGTCAAAGTGTAGGTTCCAAGGTAAACTTGCCAGCTACTTTGTGATGGGCCGAATCCGAACCAATTTTATTTTATGACGGTGTTTATTAAAAAGAACTTATACAAACACACATATATGCATATATGTAAAGTGTGTGTATGCCCTAATTTAAAGATAGAGAGATTTCATCAAAAAAAACCCCAAGACCTGGATTTCCTTGAAAAATCAAATCAAATCAGTGGATTCTTTTTTTCATATGCTCTGTATTTTGCCTCAGTCCCCTCAACTCCCTGTTTTCTGGTAACTGGGTCACTCCGTCCATTTATGATATAAGGCCAGTCTCTGAAGCATTTGGCTTTCAACCCTTGCTCTAAGGTATCAGGGTCAGAAGAAGGCACCTCCTCTCCTATCTGTTACATTTCTCCAGGCCTGTTCCTTCCCCCTCTCCTACCCCTGACTTCCTTCTCTACAGTGTTGAATTCCTCACTTTCTTCCTTTCCAGCACTTTCTTACCAAAATGTCTTCACTTCTACATCTTCCTTTACCCCTTATCTCTCACCTGCTTCCTCACCCGCCACCTCGCCCCCCAAGCCAGTCCCCGGCAACAAAACATGTTCCCGAAGTCAGGTCTGCTTGGAGCTCTGGTGACTGGCCGGCCTGAGTGCCCACTTTATGCTGGACTCTGGAGAATCTGGGAGGTTTTCTCACGTTTGGTACTTTGAAAGCACTGAGTGAATGGTGGCTGGGAACTCCTTTACTTGCCTGGCAGGCTCCACTCGGGCACAGAGTTCTTGACAAGGTCTGACTATCCCCCGCAGATCCAATTATGTGAGTGTGCATGTCCGGTTGGGGAGAGTCTAGTTTGGGGGGACCTCTCGGCTTTCCAGCTCCCGTTCGACCTTTGTTATTCACAGTGACACCAGGCGAAAGCAGCAAAACCTGGGGCCGGAGCTGTGTCGTCCCCAAGGAGGAGGGGGAAGAGGACGAGAAGAGGGCCCCCAAGAAGAAGGGACGGACGTGGGGGCCAGGCACACTTGGTCAGAAGGAGTTTGCGTCAGGAGACGAAGGGTAAGAGCCAGATGATGGGAAATCCTTTAAAAATATGATGTGGAATACCTTTTTCTCTGTTGCGTGTTTCGCTGCATTCAGAGAAATGACACGCTTCTTGATCTTGACAATAGGGTTTTCCAATCTCCTTGTTCCCTGGAAGCTCCTAGGACAGGAGTTGGCATACTTTTTCCATAAAGGGCCGGATAGTAAGTATTTTAGGCTTTGTGGGCCACGTGGTCTCTGTAGTAACTACTCAGCCCCACTGTGGTAGTACAGAAGCAGCCACAGACCATGGACAATATGTAAATGAACGAGCATGGCTGTGTTCCAGTAAAACTGTACAAGAACAAGGGATGGGCAGGATTTAGCCCATGAGTTACAGTTTTCCCAGCCCTGGAGGCCTCCTGTTCAGAGGAGCAAGTAGCCCAAGCATTCACTACGTGTGAGGAGTTCAGCCTGAGTGAGCCTGGCTCTTCCCCTTAAAACGTCTGCCCAGAGGAGAGAGAAGGAAGGACAGAGGTGACACGCCCCTTGAATGGAGGCTCATCCTAAAGCAGGGGCAGGCAGAATAACCCAGCCCTGGAGGTGCAGTTGGAGGTGACTCCGGGGCCACTAGCGCTTCCTTATGACCCCACCCACTAGCCACACCTACCATGTATGAGTGGCCCCTCTAGGCAAAGCACGTGGCACGCCCTGGTGCCTTGGATGTGCTTGTGTTCTCACTGTGGGCTTGTGACCCAGGGTTCCTAGTTCTTGACAGACGAGTTGCTTGTAGTGCAGTAGTGAAGAGCATGGCTGCTGAGCCCAGGCTGCCGGGGTGTGAATCCTGGCTCCTCCATGCCCAGCTGTGGGACCTTATGCTTTCTCATCTATCAAATGGGGATTCTCTCCATACCCACCTCATGGAGTTGATCATGAATAAGCTCATATTTGGGAAGTCCCTAGAAGATGGGCTGGCTCGTAGTAAGCATATGTAAATACTTGCTCTCATGATTTCGTCCGTGCTTCTCATGCAATTCTCCTTCATACTCGAAGAATGCATATCATGAGATATACTTCTTATTCTTGTGTTAGAATCTAGAGCCATATTTCTTGACTTTTCCAAGTGGGAGGATAAGCAGTAGCCCCCTTCATCCTTTTTAGTGGCTTTTCAAAGAGCTTCTAAGGTTGACCATTAGACTTAGAGGTGCCCTGAACCTGTAACTAGCCTTGGTATTTCTCTGAATACTACGATTTCATGTCCAAAATTTACTTCCCCATGTCAGATCTGTGCTGAAGGTGAAAATAACAGGTTGGTTCATGAAGGATGGACTCTTTGAAGCCAGGCTTTGGAAATCACTAGCTACCTTAGAACAGACTCTTTAGATATGTAGGGCAGACTGCCTAAGCTGTATAAGAATACAGTGATTGGGCTTCCCTGGTGGTGCAGTGGTTGAGAGTCCACCTGCCGATGCAGGGGACGCGGGTTCATGCCCCGGTCCGGGAAGATCCCACATGCCACAGAGCGGCTGGGCCCGTGAGCCATGGCTGCTGAGCCTGCGCGTCCGGAGCCTGTGCTCCCGCAACGGGAGAGGCCACAACAGTGAGAGGCCCGCGTACCGCAAAAAAAAAAAGAATACAGTGATTGAGTCCTCCGGGGATTGCAGGTTGCTCTGCTATACTAAGTTCTGTAGGTACAAGCCCTCCTCAGTTTGTCCTTTGAGCCGTGGCTAGAAGTAAGATTGAGCTGGGCCTGAGGAACTCCATCACCCTGAGTCCCTTGGTATTTCTGACATTAGTGTGTTTCCAGATAGGCTTTACCAGGTTGGCTATGGATCCCAATAGTTTCTCTGGTTCTGCTTCATTTAAAGGTATTTTTTTGTCTTGCTAGTAAATTAACTGCATTTCACATTACACAAAACATTAACTTTGGAATTTTCTTACATTACATTAACTTACATAGATTTGCCCTCAAAACTTTTGAAGCAGTTCAAAATATGTGACTTAATTTTTCATGATTCTCAGTTCCTACTGAAGAAATAAGGAAAATCCACCCAGTCTCAAGAAAAGACCTCTTCCATGTCAGAAAATTTTGAGAGTCTCTATATGATACTATGTCTAATGTTAGTCCCTGTTGACTGAAGAAAATATGTAATGACAAAAAGCTGTATTGAATTCAGTAATGCTAAGTGAATTTGCATCTCCATCCTTTAAAAAAATAGTACATATCTGTAGGAAACATATGCACTGTCTGTAGACAGCGGGGATCTATGGATTCACAAGCCCCCTGTAATTAAGCTGTGGCTGCCCAGCAATGTTTGTCCCACAGATTGGGAGGTCCCGGGCCTGTGGTAGTTCCGGCATGGTCATCTTGTTAAGATTCCTTCATGGTGTGGGGCTTTGCTGACCAGACAAGGGGAGGGCAGCTGGCGACATGGCTGGAGCCCAGCCTTGAGGGTTCTCACGTGGGAGAGGCTGAGCTGCATGTACCCACTGTTACCTGCTACTGATTCTCTTTATTCATTGAAGATCCCCTCAGAGACGTGAGAAAGCTAATGGTTTAAGTACCCCATCAGAATCTCCACATTTCCACTTGGGGTGAGTCTAATCTTCACCCTCTCATCACATGTACTGGTAATGACCCTCCCTCCGTTTCCTTGTCCTCACAGCGCACTCCGCAGAATCAAGCCTCATTATGGCCAGGGCCATGCTGACTTCCTTTTTTTCTTTTGGAAGCGGTACCATCGTGCACCTTGGGAAAATTCCTGTGTTGGTCTGACTTGACGTTTCCTTTGCTCCCCTGACCACTCCCGTTGTTGGGATTCTCCCAGAATCCTTAGTTATAGGGAGACAGTCCATGGCTGTTTATCCTTTGGTCGTCAGCACTGGCTTTGACTCTGCTGATCTGGATTCCTTGGACCCAGGGCTGGAGGTGATGTTATAAGACTTCCAGTGAGAAGTCTCAGGCTGTGGGTTGGGCAGCACGCTTCTCTCTGGCTGTGTATTTTGGTTGACACCACTGGTGGCTGGGAGGTACTTTAATGCAGTGTTATTCCTGATAGCACTTGAGGCAGAGGCCTGCAGTCAGGGAAAACGTTGGTTCTTCTCCCTCCCTCAAGATGGGCTGGGAAGAGTGGGCTTTAGTTGAATGGCTCTCTCTCTAGCCCTAAAATGAGAGCCACCCCTGGTTATATACTGGTATCTCCAGGGCAGTCACAGCCCACAGATTCCTCAGTCCTCCTTCTTTACTGTCCTTTAGGGGAAAGACCAGTGCTTCTGGGCCTTTGATGCCCCTGTCCTATAAGAGAGTTGGCGGGGTACCCAGTCAGTGACCTTGGAGTTACTGGCTTGCCACTGTGAGCTGATGACAGCGTTTTGAAAGCAAGCGCCTGTCATTTTCCTCTCCATTCCCAGACAAACCGAGGGTTCGAGTCCAGCATTATGTACTGCCCACATAGGTCTGTCCCAAAGTGCACTGGGTTGGTGCAGCCTTGTTGGTTGATTTTTGTTTTTGAAACGTGGATGGCTTTGAAAGTTGCCTGAGCATGCCGTAAGCTTGGAAGGAGAAATTGAGAAAGGGTGTGAGTGGAGTGGCCTGGCCTGGCCCATCTCTGCTAGCTCATTGCCCGGTGCTTGCCTTGCATTGCAGATCTCAGCACTGCAGTTTTTCTAATGTCGCCAGTGTGTTGTAGTCAGCGCCTGCGGAGTGATTGCCTCTCCCTTAAGTTGGGCTTCGGCAAGACCCTGGCCAGTGCCGGGCAGTCCTTATTCTCGCTCTCCTCTTGCCAGCCTGCCCAGCAGGTCTTCCCGCAGCTCCATAGCAGCATGTGAGGGGTGGGTTATGTCTCTGCTTTTCATTCCCTAGAGCATGTGCACTTTTGCTAAGGAAGCGGGTGGGCTTAGTAAGGCTTGTTGCCTATACCCCGAGGCTCTTGGGCTTTGCTGTAATCAAGCAGACAGGGAGAGGCATTTCCATAGGCCCAGGGAGCTGAGGGTAAAGGAAGTAACCAGTTCTCACAGTTTCCTCACTTCCTCTCACTCAGCCTCAAGTCCCTGGTAGATGGATACAAACAGTGGTCGTCCAGTGCCCCCAACCTGGGGAAGGGGCCGAGGAATAGTCCAGCCCTGCCAGGGTTCACCAGCCTTATGGAGATGGGTAAGTACTGCCTTTGTCTTGATTCTCCTCCTGTTCCCTCAGGGAATTCTTGGCCAAGCTTCTCGGACTCTTTAAGGACCCCTAGTACTGCTTCAGAGGGCTGTTTCCTCTTTTTCTCAACTCCTGGTCCCCCCCGCCCCGCTTGTTCCTTCTCCGTTTGCTCTACCCTCATTCCATTGAGTCTTCTCAAATCACTACTGCTGCCATGGAACCTGCCTTTGGCCTCCTATCCCAAGGGGCCAGTTGTAGTCTCCTTAGGGCAGTGAAGAACGGGGAGGCCTGGAATCGGGCAGTGAAGAACGGGGAGGCCTGGAATCAGGCAGTTTCCTTTCCTGGGTCTATTTCTGTGTATTTTAATGTGGGGAGTCCACAGAATGGGAGCCGGTGATAGGAGACACCACAGTGTTCCTCCAAGGAAGCTTTTCCAGTGTTGCCCTGTGATTACTGAATGGGTAAGGCCTTCCCCAGGCTCTCTCAGAAAGTACTCTTCGCTCTAGAATTCCAAAATCATAATAAGTCAGTCCATAGAGTAGATGGGCCTTCACCCACGCAGGGGGTTCTAATCCTTTGCAGGAGACTAGTCTTTTTCTTTTTTTAAAATTTTGGTTGCACCAGCTCTTAGTTGCGGCAGGCGTGCTCCTTAGTTGCGGCTTGCCGGCTCCTTAGTTGTGGCTCGTGGGCTCCTTAGTTGGGGCAGGCGAACTCTCAGCTGCAGCATGCGTGTGGGATCTAGTTCCCTGACTAGGGATCGAACCTGGGTCCCCTGCCTTGGGAGTGCGGAGTCGTAACCACTGGGCCACCAGGGACGTCCTGCAGGACGCTGGTCTTAAGTCTGTAGGCCATTATTCTAAAAATCCAAGGTCCCTTCCAGTTTCAAGTTGTAAAATAATTAGGGATCTGTCTGTTCTAGGAAACTCATACCGCACTTCTTGTGTTGAGGGTCCCTACGACAGAAGGAGCAAATTGGCAGATCGTCTTTTCTGCACATAGGAAAACAGGCTGTGGAGTGGAGAGTGATTTCCCCACATTGGTCACAGTTGAGCGTGGAGGCATGAAGTCCTGTTGGTTCTTTGTCCTGCACCTCAGACTGTTCAACGTCTGCACCCCTGGCACTAGGCCAGGGGCCTGGGGTTGGCGACAAGGGCCAGGTTCTTACTCTTGCCGCTTCGTTCCCATTTTCTGTTCCCCCTCCACTCCTCTCGTCTCCGCAGAGGACGAGGACAGCGAAGGTCCACGGAGTGGGGAGAGTCGTCCACAGCCGTCACCCAGCCAGTCCTACCTCTGTATCCCATTCCCTCGTGGAGAGGATGGGGACGGCCCCGCCGGCGACGGCGTCCACGAGGAGCCCACCCCAGTCAACTCGGCCACCAGTACCCCTCAGCTGACGCCGACCAACAGCCTCAAGCGGGGCGGCCCCCACCACCGCCGCTGTGAGGTGGCTCTGCTCGGCTGTGGGGCCGTCCTGGCAGCCACGGGCCTCGGCTGTGACCTGCTGGAAGCTGGCAAGTGCCAGCTGCTGCCGCCGGAGGAGCCTGAGCCGCCAGCCCGGGAAGAGAAGAAGAGGCGCGAGGGCCTCTTCCAGAGAGCCAGCCGCCCCCGCCCGAGCACCAGCCCCCCATCCCGGAAGCTCTGCAAGAAGGAGGAGCCCGCGCTGTTGCTAGGAGACCCCTCTGCCTCCCTCACACTGCTCTCGCTGTCCTCTATCTCCGAGTGCAACTCCACGCGCTCCCTGCTGCGTTCTGACAGTGATGAGATTGTGGTGTACGAGATGCCCGTCAGCCCCGGGGAGGCCCCACCCCTGAGCCCCTGCACCCGCAATCCCCTGGTCGATGTCCGAGTGGAGCGCTTCAAGCGAGACCCGAGGCAGTCCCTGACCCCCACCCACGTCACCCTCACGGCCCCCCGCGCTGAGCCCAGCGCTCACCGGCGGACTCCTTCCGATGGGGCCCTCAAGCCGGCGGCCCCTCGAGCCAGCAGGAGCCCCTCCAGCAATGGGCTGAGCCCCAGCCCTGGAGCAGGTGAGGCCTGCCCGCCCCCTCCTTCCTCTTGCCTGCCTTCGTGCTCCCCCCCGGGAGTGGGGATATCGGGGTCAGCTCCGTTCCTCCTCTGGCTCAGCCAGTCAAGACAGGCCGCTCTGGGCCGCGGGAGGTGGCCGACTTCTCTCCGTCCTGTGCCTCGGGGGGTCTTCCCTGAGGAGGGAGAGCAGACAGGCAGGCTCTGGGAAGAATCCCATCAGGACTCCGGTGGGATGCTCAGGCCCTGGGTCTGGGAGTGTGCGGCGCGGTGCTTTCAGGACAAGGGCAGGAGTCCAGCTCTGTTTGTTCCCTGAAGAGGAGGCTGCAGTTACCGAGAGCAATTCTGCCCTGCACACAGGAGGGTATTTTCGGCCACACAGCTGGGCTCTTGCCTCTCGTTACAGCGTGAGTCCAGACACTCTCAGAAGGCAAGCTTCCGCCCGGGCATCACGCCCTCCACCACTCATCCCTTAGTCACTCATCCCATCGCTCAGACGTGGAGATGTGTCCAGGTGAACTGCTGTGCCGGTGCACGCGCTCGCCTTCTCCGTCTGACGTCCAGCACACCCTGACGTGCACTGTCACCCTGGGCCTTCCCCACCCTGTCCCTTGCGCCCTAGAACACCGCAGTCTGACCTAGAAACCACCTCGGATCCCCTAGGAGAAGAGAACATGGCAATACCCTCTCAGTGAGATTTGAGCGTGAGCGACAATAGTACCTGACCATCCAGCTTGCCGTTCCCCTGCTTAGATTTTTTTTGTTACAATCAGATAGGTGTGGCCTCTGTGGGAAAAGAGGCCCCTGGATTACTCGTCTTTAGATTTCTGACACCTAGCTTTGTTCCTGTCACACGTTTATTAAATGGATGAAGTGCGAATGAACAGACATTTCCTCAAGTTGTTTCATGACAGATACGAGCCCCGTGTGTCCCATTATTATCAGATACAGGGACCGTGGCCTTGTAGTTCACTGTTACATCCCCAGTGCCTGCCAGCACACTGCATGAAAAATAGTAGGCGCTCGTAATTCTCGTTATCCCGAGTGGACGGGGACCCGGCGAGGTGGGGAGGGAGCAGCGTGTGTGGCCCAGAAGTGTGGTGCCATTGTCGAACGCCTCTCCCTTTGTCTCTTTGACCAGGAATGTTGAAAACCCCCAGCCCCAGCCGAGACCCAGGTGAATTCCCCCGTCTCCCCGACCCCAATGTGGTCTTTCCCCCGACCCCAAGGCGCTGGAACACACAGCAGGACTCTGCCTTGGAGAGACCCAAGACCCTGGAGTTTCTGCCTCGGCCGCGTCCTTCTGCCAACCGGCAGCGACTGGACCCTTGGTGGTTCGTGTCTCCCAGCCACGCCCGTAGCGCCTCCCCAGCCAACAGTTCCAGCACGGAGACGCCCAGCAACCTGGACTCCTGCTTGGCAAGCAGCAGCAGCACCGTGGAGGAGCGGCCTGGGCTGCCAGCCCTGCCCCCCTTCCAGGCGGGGCCGCTGCCACCCGCCGAGCGGACGCTTCTGGACCTGGACGCGGAGGGCCAGAGTCAGGACGGCACCGTGCCGCTGTGCAGAGCCGCACTGAACACACACAGGCCTGCCCCTTACGAGATCCAGCAAGAGTTCTGGTCTTAGCACGAAAAGGGTTGGGGGCGGGCAAGGGGGAAGCAGGAGATGGGAGGAGCCGGCTGGCACAGCCCTGTCTCAGAATTGGACCCCCTGAGCTCCCGCCCTACTTCTTGCACTGATAATGCACTTTGAAGATGGAAGGGATGGAAGCAGGGCCCCTTGAGAGGGCTTCGTGCCCTGCAGGGCCCTTCTCCCCAGGTCCACTGGAGGGGCCGTGGCTGTGTAGGGCAGGGAGGGGTGCGTGCATGTCCTCCACCCTCCACAGTCTTCCTTGCCTTCGAGGTGACCCTGCAGAGTCCCTCAGCCGAATCTGTCTGCTGCCCCCTCTCCTCAGCCCCCTGGGTGTGCCCTCCTGGGCTCCCTCTGTTAGCCCTGAGTTCAGCCTTTCCAAACACCAGTATTGGATGTTCTGTGATTGATTTTGCACCTCTTCCACATTCTTCCCCGATACTCATGAATCAGAATCTCCTTTGGTGTGAGATGTGAGCTTTTCTGTGTCCTGAGCCCTTCGGTGCCGGCCGGAGGACTGAAGGCGAAGTAAGTGCCCCAGTGTCGGGCACAGGAATTGATGGAGCTATAGCACCACCTACTGCACTTCCAGGCGCCCCACTTATTCATTTGAGCCTCCCAGTGGTAGGGACCTGCCTCTGTGAGACAGGGGTGGGGTGGGGGGGTGGAGAGGGAGTTAGGAAATACAGTTGAGTTGCAGCAAAGAGGGTAACGGAGTCTGTCTGTCCTCACTCCTTTTGTAAACACTCAAAGAAGGGCAGAAACCAGCACCTGTTGACGGCACCCATCTCCTACCTGGGGTCCAGATGTGGTCAGACCAGGTTCTGATACAAACACACTCTCATCCCAGGAATAGTTTCCAGGGAGACTCACTGGTGACAGTTCTGAGACCAGAGACAAAGTTCTTGTGTTTGTCCGTTTGGTCATCTGATCTGTATGTTCTTCCCTTCCCTTGATCTTTCTTGCAACCCCTGGAATTAGCGGACTTCAGGTTATGTGTTTGGTGGGGAGATATCTCTGCACTGCACCAGAATAGCATATGGGGGTGGGTCCCGCCCGGACCCTGAGAGTTGGAACTGTGGGCATTCCTTCTCATGCCCTTGAAGTAAAACGGAGTGCTTTTTAGTTCCTTGTGTGAATGGATGTGGTGAGTGATGATGTCTGTAAGGTGCTCAGTGAGCCCCTGATGTACAGTAACCTTCAAGTTCCGAGCACTGGAGACCAAGCAAGGCCTCTTGTCTCTGTGCACGGATAGCCCTCCTGCTGGGCTCTGGACCATGAGCTGGGTAGGAAGGACAACAGAGCCCAACCCCGACTTTTCTGGAATTTGTTTCCTTAACTTGAATGTTGAGCTGCTTCTGGAGCTTTCTCACGTGTATCTCCACTGTTCCTCTTACCCTCAGGCTCCTGCAGCAAGTGTGAACAGTTGTCTTTGCGTGGGAATAACAGCTTGATGGGAGTAGAGTTCGTAGGTCACGCTCCTCCCCCCTCAAGACTCTACACATCACTCCACTGTCTTCTGCCCTGGACTATTTCTCTGCAGGTGTTGGAGGACCACCTGCAGGTTCCTTGCGTTTGCTGCCTGGATGCCAGGACAGGAGAGCAGCCATCCAGGCACGAGTGATGGATTTGGTCATTGCCTGCTCTGTAACTACAATAGAAGTCCTGCCCTGGGGATGACAAAACGGGACACCTTGGCTTTCAAGTTCTTTGTTTTACGAGCCCACTGGCAGACACTTTGGTTCAAGGGTTCCGTGTAGTCTTGGGCGGGGAGGCACTGTTGGTTTTGTTGTCCAGGGTTCTGTTATTGCGTCTCATCTCTCTCCGTCTCTTTGTTCAGCGAAGACAGTACGTAAGAGATTATTTTTGCCCCCATGCCCCACTCCTCGGCCAGGAGGGGGGACGTGTGAATCCCGTCAGCAGTTCCAGCCAACCACGTGACTCCCCTTCATTCCTGCTGGGGAGAGGGACACAGATGGCCTGTTCTGTGCCCTTTCCCAGGGCTCTCCAGGGCCCCAGGCCCTAAGCCGCTACGCATCTCTAAACCCTTGGCCCCACTAAATGGCCCCCTGGTGGGTGCAGCACACAGTGTAGTCCAGACCATGCTGGCTCTGGACAGTGCTCTGTGGAAGGAGGCAGGAAGTCTTCCTTTGCTCATTTTCTGCTTTTTGTCATTTTGTTGGATTGCAGCCGTCTGTCTTGGAAGTGTAGTGTAACTGGTGTAGGAGTAGACTGATGGCTCGCTGCCGCCAAGTAAGAGGTTGAACCTGGTTCTTCCTCATCCATCCAGGGGAAGACAAGGGAAGGCTGGGTGTCTGCTAAGGGAGCGATTATACCCGCAAGAAGCAGAAGCGGGGTTATTCTGAAGGTGCTTCTGTGGACTTCCACGAAGATGGAGGACTTACCATCTCTCAGCTCCTCCAAACCAGGTCCCCGAGGGGCCCCTGCCTGCCACACTCTCTCTGTGGGGCAAAGGCTCAGGTGGGATAAGGATCCTGTATAGTAACAGATTTGGGTTGCTTTCTGTCCACTCAGCTTCCCTTGTCTCCATGGTCATGGGCAGGGGCAGGCCTGGGAGTGGGGGATCAAACCCCTGCAGCAGCAGTAGCTGATCCCCTCTCCCTTTCCTCAGACACTTTCCCACCCCTCTTGGCAGGTGCTGCTACATGGAAGATGGTGATGGGAAACAGATACTGCTCTCTGCCCCTTCTCCTTGACTCCTTCAGTTCCTTCCACTGATTTTGCACAGGACTGTCCTCTGTCCTTGGGGATCCAGGCCACTGCCAGGGGCTGAGTAGATGTCCCAGTTATTTTCATATGTTATGTCTAAGAGGCTTTGACAGATGCTCTTATCTTTGCATCTTTTAGTATCCGGAGGTCTGGTAGTGAAGACGATGGTGGTGGTGGTGGTGGTGGTGGTGGTACCTTGCATTTGGATGACTCAGAATTGGGCTAACCTTTCCTCTTGGCCTTTACAAAATTACATTACTTGCCTTCTACATTTCTTATACTTACTGGTAGAGAAGGGAAAATGCTTAAAGATGAAGATTCAAGTGAAGACAAGTTAAAAAGCTGCTTGGACTGATTGCTGAGTCGGGCACCAGACTCTTGAGACCTGAACAGATTGGCTCTGTTCTCCGTTCTGCTTTTGCTGTCTGACCTTGGGCTCGTCTCTTAGTCCCTCTCAAATTTCCTTCCTGTAAAAGCAACCATCACCTGCTTCCCTCACAAGGGCAAGAGAGTGTGCATCAGAGCAGGTCCGTGAAGCCCGTGGCTCCCTGCCAGCGAATAGGACAAACTGCTGAAGTCGACAATGCAGTTCTTACCGCCTTTGCCTCTAGGGGACTTGCCTACTTCCTCTGGCTTCTGGGAGGGGAATGATTTGGGGTTGGCTTAGCATGACTGATGGGGACGGTGGTCAGGCACATGCTCTTCTACTGCATTACGTAGCCCCTGGTGTTTACAAGCATCCCTCCTAATTCCCCCACCGAATTTGTCAGGCTGATGGTCCTACCATTAGTGTCTTACAGAAGGGGCGATGGGAGACGGGGAGCTGGAGGCAGCATCCAGATGATGATTCGGGGTCTCTTGTTTCCTGGAGTCATTCCCAAAGTCTGATGTGTTTAGAGGCTGGAATCAGGCCGGTTCCAGAAGGAATCCTTGGGAAAGGGTCTGCTGGCCCTTGGGACATGGGTCATGGTGTGGGCTTCCTCACAAGGCCCCTTTTCCCTCAGACCACAGTTGCTCAGGGACGTCATAAGACACCCCAAGGGCATCTAGGCCTGAAGTGGTATCAACAGTCTTGCTTCACAGCCCCGCTTTGGAGGCTTCTTGCCTGCTCCCTCCCCCACAGGGAAAGAGGCCCTCC